TTGGAAATAATATAATTACCACTAAAATATATTATTATCCTAGAAAAAGAAAAAAAAAAAGACAAAAAAAACATAAGATAATTTGAATAATTTCCATTAAAATCACTGAACACTTTAAATTATAATGCTTCTATGTTTATTGTATTTTTTTATTTACAACCTAGCATAAGTAGTAATATTAATGGACAGTGATCAAAGTCGTTCGAAGAGAACAGATATCCTAGAAATCAGTACTTATTAAAAAATTAAACAAAATTTTATTTAGTTATATTATAAAGAAACGTCACGTACGGGAATGTAAACGTTTCTTCGAACGATCATCGGCAGTAAAATTGTGTATATTACACAGAGTAACTTACTAAGTTCATTCATAAGTTTATCTGAGAGAACGACAATCGGCAAAAATTTTGCTAAATAAAAAACATATTGAATATTTATTTAACATATTATTCACAAATACTCAATGCAAAAGTTATATATTGGCGACAGTCACTCTCATATTCAGATTCTCTCACTTTACAAAGGCACTTTTTATAACAGTTTATTCTTTACTTTGGGGTAAAACTTAATTTACAGCCTCAGTTTATCAAATTGAGTTTAGAAGAAATATCTGAAATAATCATACCAAGGTCCCATCTTTTAAGAGATTATGTACTAATTTTTTCGTTTCGTATCTTTATCAGATATTAAATTTATCGATTAATCTATAGATTATAATTTGAATTAACATTACACAGGAGGTATAACTTTTTTATCATATAAAAGAATAATCTATTATCTGTGATCATGAATATGTACGATTTATTCAGTGACCTTGATTTCCTTCAAAATGGTAAATTTAATATATATTATATTTAATAACTTTAATTTTTTACTTTTTCTCAATTTTGATAATAAAGTATTGCGTTCTTAAAATTATGAAAATCATAAGTATATGAGGCAATATAATTTTTATATATTACTAAACAAATAGAAAATTCAGAAAATTGGATACGTAAAAAGCATCATTGACTAGACCAAGAAAGAGGGTACACATCATATTTTTTTATGAAATAAGATTTTCGGTCACGATATATTCAAAATACATTTTTTTTTATATTTAATTATTTTCAAAAATTTCAATTAGAGCTATACTCTAATTATTCACACTATATTTATCTGAAAGTTTGTCTTTTGCATCGTTTTTACATTTAAAACTTTCAAATTTATAGAAAATTGATCTAGTAGCTAGAGTAATGATTATCAAGTATTAGCTATAATGTTAATTATTCTAATCGCAGTTATATTCTTTGCAACAAATACTGTACAAAAACGTACAATTAGCAGAGTAACGTATGTATAACGGTTATTAATAGCTATTTCCATTTTGGGGTGGTTTTTGGTTAGTATTACCATTATTCGGTACTGTATCTAAAATCAATTTTCTTCTATGATATTCAATAGTTACATTTTCACTGGCCATTGATTTTCGGCGTAAAGGTGTTGTATTCTCTGAAACTTGAACTATCGAATTTGTACTCTTACGCCGTGTTGGTAAATCATTCATTTGTCTTTGTCCTATTTCATTCTGATTAGATAACCCATTGGATATTGAAACCATTGTAGAAGTCTTACTATTAGTACAGTTTGTTACACAAACTGTAAAAGCAGTTTTATTTGCATTGTTTTGTACAGACGCAAATGTTGCAGTATTTTTGTTCATAGAATTTTGAATTGTACTATTATGATTTACAGTCTTGTTTGATGATGTAGTCATCATATTTGCATATTTACTAACATTATTATGGATGGATGCTGTCGTTTTTACAGATTGTGAACTTGGTGAATTAAGCGGTAAAGAAGTTTTTCGTCTCGCATTAGAATTTGATCCATCGTTATTAAAATTTATTTTAGCACTTATACTATTTTGTTTATTAGCATCTAAAGATGCATGACAGCCTGAGCTAAGCCATTTTTCAACTTGAGCTTCATGGGACTTTTGTAAAACTTTTCGAATATCACTATCTTCACCTCCTTCTTTCATAATTTCTTGTAATTTTTGAATAGTTTGATATAAAACCACAGGACTAATTAGACCAAAATCAAACAAACTACACATATGTAAAACAAAATTACGATACAAATTTTTCATGAGCAATTCCTTTCCTTTAGTTTCTAGAAACATTTGGCAAGCCAGTGGTATTTGGCAGTCTCCTACATAACCATACTTCATAACATGTAAATTCCACATTTTCATAAGTTCTTTTTCCCCTTCATTTACATCTGTAAAATCGTCAATCATCATCATTGTTTTTGTTTGTAACCATTTTGGATCATTTTCCCCTTCAGAATCAATATCCATTTCTTTTGGATATATAGGTAAACATGTAACAGTATGATGATACAATCTACAAAAATTTTCATAAACATATATTCTAGTAAGTAATAAATAATAAAATTGTTTTAACTTAATTATTGTACCTATTATGTCCTGTAATGTAAGGTCTTTGGCTTTCATATTCATTCTCATCAAGCTCTAAAAATTCAGAGAGACTTGGCTTAGTTCTTTTTGGACGACATACTAAAATATTTGTTACGCTTGTACGTCTCGTCGGTCCTGTTCTTGAAAATGCTACATTAGATGGCTGTGAGATTAATTCGTGAGGACTACCAGCATAAGAACCATCATAACATTCGTTTATTGCTACATCTATACGAGCACCTTGTGGAATTGGCTATCAAAATAAACATAATTTATTTTACAGTATTTTTATATAATAGATCTATAATACATATATTTAATACTTACCACATACGTAAATGTAAATCGCGAATGACACAATTTTAAATGTTTCAAAAGAGAATAAAGTTTTCCACAGTCTAATGAGCACCAAGGGCAATGTAAATCTTCACAAGCTTCTGTTTGTTGACGACTATTATTATTATACAGGAATTGATAAACTATTTGTTGCGTACCCATAATAGTATCCGTTTTTTCACTAGATGTTGTCATTCTTGAAGAATTAAGAGGACTAGGTGTTGGCAGTGTTGAATTATTGTTATTATTATTATTGTTATTGTTATTGTTGGTACTATTATTATTTGTGGAAGAACGTTCCAGACCAGCTGAAATTATTGCATAAAATTTTATTTTATTTTTTATTCTGCTTATATATATTTTTCTGTAGGAAAGAAAGAATAGATATCTTACTATTTCCTGATCTATTTTCTTTATTATCACCATTTGGTACTGGGTGAATTGGAGTTGGTCTATCAACTAAACCATTACTTGGTTCAGTTGTCCAATTAAGCCTAAATTTTAATGTTGGTCCTTTGCTAAATACTTCAAAAGGACCACATTCCTTAATGTCAGGTACAGACTCCCAAGAGCTGTGCTTCTTTGGGCTAGATCGAATATTGGTTTGTACTTCTTGTAAACCTAGTTCATAATCACCATCAGTCAATAAACATCGATTATGTTTATCATACACTATGAGTTCAGAACCATACAACTTTATTTCCTCTCCTCCAGTTTTGATTGAACCCGTAGAAGATTTACGACGCTTTTGAGCTGGTTCTGGAGAGGAAAGAAAAAAATAAATACATGAAATATACTTCCTATAATAATTTATGAGTATTTTTACTAACCATCTAAATCACAGTTATGCATAAGGCAGCCAGTATTGGACGTACAATATACTCTAAGTAAAAGCATGTAAGTTTTAGCTACATGACCATTGTTTAAACTGAAAGATTCATTAGGTATAGATATAGTAGGTGCTTTTGGAGGGGGTTGATTTTCACAAGGATTAATTGGAACTTCACTTGTACCAACAGAAACCTAAAGCAAAACAAAAGAAAAAAGTTACATAATCATCGATCTTATTTATTTATTTCACTTTAGTTAATTTGCACAATTGAAAAAATCATACTTGCCTGCATAATTGGTGAACTCACATCTTTTCTTTTTTTGTGACATATTTTCAATAATAATGTTTCTACTTTTACAGGATCCTGAGGCGTTTCAACTATAATATTAATATCATTGTAAAAAGAATTGTATTCGATAAATTAAATAATCATCTTTTAAACTGAGCTTATGTGTCAGAAAGCATTTCATAATTACCTTTTTTATCGTAAAAACCTAGAAAAGTAAGAGTCATATATCCACGAACACTTGGATTTTCTTCTTGATTATTTTTTGACATTAGTTTTTCTAATATTGTGTCAATTTTAAACCCTCGCCGAGATTTATGGCTTCTGGACATACGTTGCCTCATGTAAGTTAAATTTCTATATAGAAATATTGGCTAAAACAAAATCACATAAAATGCTTCATATAATCATATTTCTATTAATTCACATAAATAGAATTATATATAAAATATAACATTTAATTTAATTCTTTTAAAAATAAACTATAGTTTTGTAAGATAATAAATTCATATACCTACCGTTTCTTTTTACAAAAAATAAATATACAAAGTTTCAAGTTTTTAGTTTTAATTATATTGCAGAAATGTCCACAAGCACTCTACTGTAGAATTTAATTTTTATTTTATTACAACCCAAGAAAAATTCACTACACTGTTAGTACAAAAATGTTGTACCAAATACATTTTCATTCACTCTTACTTGTCTCTCTATAAATATTTATTGTTTCACATTCATCTAATATTTTATACATTTTTAATACTAATAAATATTGAAATATTCAGTTAACACTTTGAGGTGAAATTAAACTACAAACAATTAATAATTAAAATAAAATATAAAATAAATGTGTAAGTTTATTTTATTTATTACTCACTGAAATTTGGTTCCTTGTGCGTAGAAATCGATAAATCTGGGTTGGCTCTGAAAAGATAATAAATAAATCTATTGTAAAAACAAAAAGATACATATTGTAACATTTTTTAATTTATTTAATTCATTATTATTTAATGTATTTTTTAATTCAAATATATTAAGAAAAATATAGTTCAATTAAATTCCTACAGAGGGCTCACACGTTAACATTTTTCTCACAAGTGAGATGATCTTTTCAGGGGTTTAAAAACGTAAATATCAAAAGTTGCATATGATTCTTCTGTAAGGAAATGTGGGAGATGATGATCAGGTTATGCTCATCTTTGATATGAGAAGCCTGCATTTCTCATACTTGTTACGTTTTATGCAGGTTAAACCTCTCTGATCCCCATTTTCTGACACTTCAAAATAGAACTTAGCTTTCAGTTTCAATACTTTGGATGATAAAGTTTTAATTTATTATTTATAAGTAAAGATATCTTGCAACGATAAAACTGATCTGTTTACACCAAAATTAGTCGTTACCTAAAAAATCCTCGTCAAAATTCTTTTTCAAACAAATATAGGGCAACAATACAGTGATTAAATAAAATGTTAACGTTAATAGTTGAAATATATCATATTTCTTCACGAAGTTACGACGTTTATTAATTAAAAAAAAAAACAAAATATATAAAACAAAATTACAAAGTTTACTCAAAAAACTCAGGTAATATGTATATTATTTATTTAATTGGTTAAACATTAGCAACTGAACGTTAAACATTAATAAGAACATGGTGAAAGAATGACAGGTGTCCACAAATTGCGGTGAAGGAGGGAATACGGAGTGTAACGACGCGCGTTTCGGCGCTCGGTACATTCATAGCAAATAGGGTTATGTACGATCGCTTGTAACATTTATGATAAATATTGAAAAACTGATGACCAGTGGTTATCGAGTTATTGCGAGTCCCGATATTAACTAATTTTGAAGTCAAGAAATATATAAAAAAAGAAAAAAACAGTAACAGAAAGTTCTTACTTTCGAAGGCCTGTAGGAATAGCTCGTGGTCTGCTTGTATTTGATCCATTCGAGGGCCTTTTTGTCCATCCACTTCTTTCTCCCGCTTTTTCGGTGGCATTTTCATATGATTCGTTGTCAAGTTTCTTACGAAAATCCACTTTCGTCACGTGAAAATCTAATGACAACACCCGCCCCGCGCGAAATCTGCGGCGCTTGGCCTGCAACTAAAGCGCGCTCTTGTATCATTATTATTAACTAAGGGAACCAATCATTCCTTAGCAATATAGCGCGAAATTTAAATAATTCGTTCTAATTTCACACGCATATATGAATATACCAAAAATGTATTAAAATTACAGATGATTTCCTTCTGATAATATATAGTATTACTCCGTAATAATATTTCAAACTTGTAATAATAATAAATGTAATAAAAAAATATATATAATTTACATAATTGTATTAAAATATATTGCAGATTATTGTATTATCCATTTTTTCAGAATGAGTGTGGAATAGTTTTGATATTTTTTTAAATAAATTGCGTTGATCACATTATTTTAAAATAATATTTAGCAAAAAATATAATGTTACTTTTGATATTTTATAACTTAATGATTCTATCTATGTTATAATATATAATATTAGAAAATAATTGTATGTATGTTCATTTATTATACATGTAACATATTAATTTTTTTATAGAAGTTTATTGAAAATATTATTTATTATTTGCTACATTATTTATTATATTATTTTTATTTAAAAATTTAGGGACTTGCTTCTCATTTATATGTTACACATGTTATTTAGAAAATGCAAGCAATAATTAAAAATCTTGTAAAATATTCTTGTAAATATTTTTTTAAAATTAAAAACTGTAATACAAATTAAATATATATAAAGTCATGTATGTTTAATGTCAGTATTAGAGTCATTTATTTAAAAAAAGAAAAGAAAATTTTCAATCATTTGTACAACATATAGCTGAAGTACTATAAAGTAAAATAGTAGAATATAAAATTAAATATTTTTTAAATATTTTATTATAAAATAAAAATAATAATTATATATAACTATTAATACAAAATAAATTTATTATTATAAATTTACTTTACATTACAATATTATTAGTTATAATAAATATAAATATTGTAAACATTAAATAAAACTGCTTGCATATTTTTTGGGAAAATTTTGTAAGGTTGGTCAAACATGAAATATTTTACTAGAGATAAGAATGCCTGTGTACATATGAACACATTCCAAACGTGTGTAAAACTAAGTGAATGAATAATGCAATGAATTATAAGATATTAATAACTTGTTTTTATCCGTTCTAAAAAAATATTAGAGATAAAAAGTGAATTTAAAAACAAAACTTGTGATTACTTGTGATATACGTTTTATATAACAGTAATTTATATTTCTGTAGCATGATATGAAACAGTATAACTTGTACAATAATATTCAATGAAATTTAAATTAAAATATTAATATCCAGTTTGAAATATGATGAAGTATAATATATTCCGTATTACAAATATTCAATTTATGCAGAAACGATATTTCAAAAAAGTACAAGCAAGAGTGAGATTTGCACCTAGTCCGACTGGTATAAATCTTTTTATAAAAATATAATCAATATACACAGCCAATATAGTAATATAATATGAAATTAAAATATATAATAGTATTTCAATAGTTATTTTATTGTTTAATGTAGTATAAAATAATTTAATGCATGTAAAATTTATTATAGGTTTGCTGCATTTGGGAAGTTTAAGAACTGCGTTGTACAATTATTTATTTGCTCGTGCTAGTAACGGTGCTTTTATTTTACGAATTGAAGATACTGACCAATCTAGATGTATACCCGATGCAATAGAAAAAATTCAGAGCGATCTGTTATGGTGTGGAATTATACCTGACGAAGATCCAATAAGAGGTGGACCTGCTGGGCCTTACATACAATCAAAACGACTTGAAATATACAAGTAATATAAAACTTTTCTATTTATTAATATTCATTAAATTTTCTTAAATTTCTTATGCTTAAATATTTATTAAATTAACTTATTAAATTGCAGGGAACAAGTGCTTAAACTTATAGATAATCAGTCTGCATATTACTGTTTCTGTTCAGACCACAGATTGGATTTATTGCGAAGAGAAGCAATAAAATCTAGACAAGTGCCTAAATATGATAATAAATGTAGACATTTAAGCAGTGATGAAGTAAAAGCAAAGCTCAATAAGGGAGATATTTTTTGTATTAGATTTAAGGTATTGGAAGATAGTATTGTACAATGTCAATTATATTTTTATACATTTATTTTATACAAGTTTTTGCAGTTATCTGCTGGAATAGAAAGTTTCAATGATTTAATATATGGCAAAATAAAACATGATATTACACAAAGGGAAGGAGATCCAGTTATTATCAAAACAGATGGTTACCCAACTTATCATTTTGCAAATGTTGTTGATGATCATCTTATGGAAATATCTCACGTATTAAGAGGAATTGAGTGGCAAGTATCTACACCTAAACACATAATGATGTATAAGTAAGTACCAAAAGCTATAATAAAATTTGTAAATATTTTAATATTTGTTAGTGTTTATACTATCTTAAATTTTATATAATTATAAGATATTTTTAAAAATAGAATACTTACATGGAATTCAAATTATAGTAATTTTACAGAAATATTCTTAATTACTTGTATTGTGTAAACTATATATGAGTAATAAAATATTTTTGAAGTTAGAATGTGTTATATTTTTGAATACAAATACTTATTGCATGCATTTAATATAATGAACAGTTAACTCAATATAAAGATAAAAAAATTATTTAGATTATTATGGTTTTATTATATGTAATAGAATGTTAATGATAATTTTTTTTTAATATTTATATAGAGTATTACAAAAAAAGAGTTATATAACATTTACACGTTTTATACGTATTTTATAAACATAATATACCTACATATCCTTTTTTATATTGAAACATAAGTAATTATATAATATTATTTATTAATCATTTCTAAAATTGTTAAGATTTATTAAATACAAAAACAAAATTATATAAATTGGATTATCCTGAATAAATATAATTATAATTATTACAGAGCATTTAATTGGACTCCACCTTTGTATGGACATTTACCTTTAATATTAAATTCTGATGGATCTAAATTATCAAAAAGACAAAACGATATAAACATAGAGTCTTTTAGAAAAGATGGAGTTTTTCCATTAGCAGTTTTAAATTATGTTATTCATGCCGGAGGCGGTTTTGATAATAAAGGAAGTGTTCATTATATTCACAGTTACGAAGAATTAATCAAACAAGTACTTATATTTTTATATTATATCCTTTTTATAAAATATTGGTAATCAATTATATTACATGTGTAAATTATATTACACGAGCTTTTTCCCAATACTTATTTTAATTTCATTTTAACTGTTTCAGTTTAATATCTCTAAAATAAAAGTAAGTTCTAATAAACTTTCACCTCCAAAATTATTAGAATTTAATAGGATAGAAATAGCAAAATTATTAGCAAATGAAAAAAATAATAAATTTTTAGTTGAAAGAATAATAAAACTAGTCACAGAAGCATTCCCAAATAGGTATGTATAGTTTGTCTAGTATCAGTCTTATATTTATATTCAGAGAGTGTTGCTTTTAGGGAAATCAATGGAAGTTTACATTTAGACGAAAATCATATTATCTCTGTGTTAAAATGGGCACAGAACAGAATATCAAAATTAAGTGATCTAGTATCTTCAAAATTACACTTTTTATGGATTATGCCAACTACAGCACTAAATGATACTCATTTAGAATATTTAGGTCTAATTTCTACTTGTTGAATATTTCATGTGATATATTTATTAACTTTTTATATGATTATAACTATTTTTCTCTACAGATACACTTAAGATAATCAGTACGAAATTAGATGAAACTGAAATTCAAAATTTTAACAAAGATTGGATAAATAATTACTTAAAAGAATTTGCCAAGGAACATGGAATTTCATATCCGACATTAATGAAAGTCTTACGTTTTGTACTTAGTGATTTGAAGGTAAATGTAGAATATAATTTTTCTTTATAAGTCTAAAATTGATGTGTGCAATGTTTATGTTTTTAGGATGGTCCACCAGTTGCAGAAATGATAGAAATCTTGGGAAAAGACTCTACATTATTAAGAATAAAACGCTGTATTTCTTAAAAATAAAAATATGGCATATTTCCAAGTTTACAATTAATATTACATCTACTAATAACAGAATAAAAATAATTTTAGATAGTGTATAAATTTTATACACCCAGTCTATTTTATTATTTATGAAATACTAAAATATACTAGAACTAACTTCATATATAACGGATCATATGAGAAGCTACTTTTTTACTTATTTAATGAATATTTTTATTTTCATGTTTTCATTTATATACAATATACATTAAAGTATAAAAACATACATATAAAGATTGAAAAAATTTACATATTACGTACTAAGAGGAATTATTCTACGAAAAAATTTCTAAATAATACATTAAATATGTTGATATTTTTTATTTAAAAAATTTATAAACATATTTTAGTCATCAAATAGAAGAACTATACGGAAAAAACTGAAGGCCTAATGGCGATGACACAATTGCAAAAGTTTACAAATTAATCTCCTGAAGTAGCTTTTCTTACAATTGAAAATCGTTATCAATTGACATAATACATATATCCCAAGCTCTACTTTGAATCTCATCAAAATACTAATCCAGTTTTTCAGGATACGTTAACGTGAACATTCACTCCGAGCAATCTTTTGTAGGAATTTTGTCGGCAATGTAAAATCCAAGTAACTGTATATTCAACGATTCACTTATCTAGTTTTTTGACGTGTTTAACTCTATTGCTCTACGCTAGAGGCATAAAACAATAAAACTTTAAATCCCACCTGTCTCTAGACACAATGATACTGTCACCTCCCAGAAATAATGCATCTTCTGGGAAGCATGTAAACTGTTCCAAACAGCCAATTTATCAAAATGCAATTGACAACTGAACCGACAAGCTGAGTGAAGTGACTATCATTGATGATACCTGAAGATTCCTTGTACTGGGATTTATTTGCCAATCTAATTTTAGTATTTATAAAATAATCACGAATGAAACAAAATAATTTTAT